GCAATGCCTCCCCCCCTTTTATTTTCTCGTATTTCAGATTCAAATTTGAAGTTTGGTGGCGTTGCTTCTATTAAAACCGCATTACCTGTACTCTGGTCAAGCCAAGTTTCAGTCAGAAACATAAAATCAAGATCATAAGAACGGATAAAATTATTAATTAAAAATGATTTGTTGCACAGTGATCTGACATTAAGCATAGCAATTTTAAAATTAATATCAGTAACAGTGGGTTTAATAAACTTGCCACACACCTTTAATTGCACTTTACTGACAATATTGACAATTACTTAATTACTTTTACAATAATAATACAAGAGGAGGCGGTCTAGTGTTTTTATTATTAACACAATATTTCAGAGTTTGTTTCCGAGTTTCGTTTTGTATATTCCTGAAAAGTGATGTTTTCTCAAATCCAAAACACTGTCGTGTGACACAGGTATACAGACACAGGTACAGACACTGGTACAGACACTGGTAGACATAGGTACAGACACAGGTGAAACACCGGGCCTCGAAATAATTAATCTATAGTTTAGGCTCAAGTTTATGTCACTGTTAGATACCTTAGAGACCATAGACTGTAATACTGAGACCATAATGAGACCATAGACTGTACACACATGTATGTGTGTGTGTAAATACTGGGGACCACAGTAGCATTGGCCTTTGGGCCTGAAGGTTGTGGGTTCGAGCCCACCATAAGACCTACTTCACGACTCCCACTGAGGACTGCTGTGGTTGTGTCCTTGGGCAAGACACTTAACCCCACTTTGCCTGAAGCCTCCACTGTGGACTCAGCACCTGCAGAAAGATCAATGAGGGGCTGGTGCTATGACTGCCACCCCCCCCGCCCCATGGGGGATGGATTTGCCGCATTCAGACCGGATCATGCGTTGCGTCGGCTTTCAATGCAAAGTCAATGGAGAACGTGCGTTTCAGCCTTGCCGGTCTAAAAGCGCCATAAGGGGAAGATAATGGATGGATGGATGTGTGCGCGCGTGTGTGTGTGTGCAGGTATAGGAGTTGTTCTATTTTAATTATTGAATATTTATTCAATTATAAACACACACACACACATGTGTTGTAAATAATCCCACATGTGCAGCCAAACAGACAGAACAAGTCCCTATGTTTCCTTCCACTTCACTGCAATATAAGGTTGCCGATCTCAAACGATCAGCGGATTTTTGTGCAAATAAAATGTCCATATTTTTCTGTTTGCAGCCGCCGTGACACAGGTACAGACACTGGTACGGACACAGGTACAGACACTGGTTCAGACACAGGTACAGACACTGGTACAGTCACAGGTGCAGACACAGGTACGGACACAGGTGACACAGGTACAGACACAGCTACAGACACTGGTACAGACACAGGTGCAGTCACAGGTACAGACAGGTACAGACACAGGTAAAAACAGTGGTGACCCGTGAACTGCGCGGAAACGGGTTAAAACAACACAAAGAAGAAGAATGAGAAGAATGTGACTGGACCGACAGGTGTCCGTGAGAGAGCACAGAGAGAGAGAGTACAAATTAGAGAGAGCACACAGAGACAGAGAGAGAGAGCACACAGAGAGAGAGCAGAGAGAGAGAAAACAGAGAGAGAGAGCACACAGAGAGAGAGAGTACCAAGAGAGAGCACAAATTAGAGAGAGCACACAGAGACAGAGCACAGAGAGAGAGCACAGAGAGCAGGTAATACACGTGAGTGAAAGCACATTTACCTCTCTGTGCTCTGTCTCTGTCCTCTCGCTCTCTCTGTGTGCTCTCTCTCTCTGTGCTCTCTCTCTGTGTGCTCTCTCTCTGTGCTCTGTCTCGGTGCTCTCTCTATCTCTGTGTTCTCTCTCTCAGTGCTCTCTCTCTGTGTGCTCTCTCTCGGTGTTCTCTCTCTCTGTGCTCTCTCTCTGTGTGCTCTTTCTCTGTGGCTCCTCTCATGCATCAGTCTTCAGGGCAGAACGAGATCAGACTCTAAGACCCTCCTGGAGGCACGGAGCCAAAAATTATAACTTTGTTGACTGTAAAAAAACGTGTTATTGCTTCAGTCAGCATGATTAAAAACATTCTTCCTTTGCCCAAAAACATGAAATAACTCAAGCCTAACTCAATATAACACATTTTTGCTTTTTCCAAAACAATAAGTTTGTCTTTCTTTGGGATATTAATGTTAATAATAATAATATCAATAACACAACTAATATGTTGCTTTTTGGACACTCAAAGACGCTTCACAGAAGAAAAATAAGAAACAAAAGATAAAAAGCTTAAAAATATAACAGTTAAGTGCAGTTTTGAGTCAGAACTAATAATAATAATAATAGTGATAATAATTATTATTATTATAATATCTGAAAACACATGTTCTGAAAACTGCAAATGTGTTTTTTAAAATTATTGTAGAAGAAAAGACTTTGAATTAGACTTTTAAAAATATCTGTTTAATAAATTCAACAAAACTAACACCAGCGACATCACAATTATTCTCATTATTTTGTAACTTTATATAAAATACATGAAACAAGACTTTTAGTTCTTCAAACAATAAAATGTGTTTCATTCAATTTTATAATTTTGTTCAATAAAATACTATAGTCTTTTCAAAAACCATCAGGATTTAAACTCAAATAAATAGATAATTAACCAAACTCAATAATAACAGGACTTTTACGACACAAACAGATCTATGTTTAGAGAAAATGAATATTACAATAATTCAATAATATTTTTAAATGATTCTTATGTGAGTTGTTTTGTGACGTCAGCGCCGCGCGCACAGAACTTGGTCCGTTTCCTCTGATTCTTGAAGATGTTACGCACAGTTTACGCACAGCTCGTTTCCAGAGAAGTTTTAGAAGCTCGTGTTTCTACAAAGACAGATTTAAAGTCTTAAAGATTAAATAACATCAGCTTTGATTTTGACTCGGACTCATCCTTTTCCTCTTGTGCGTAAAGACTCGTTACGAACGGACCGCTCCAGGACCGACCCCGGACCGACCCCGGACCTGGGACTGTCTGAAAGAGTTTTAAAAGTTAAATATTGTAAAAATAAACTCCACACATAAAACCCATTTTAAATCTGAATTCTGAAACATTTGGTTGAGAGAGTTTCTGGAGGAAACAGTGGCGGCTGGTCGTGTCGCTGCGTCTCGTTCATAAAAAGATCATAAACAAATCTGTGTTTGTTATTTTTGGAGAATGTTTATTACAAACTTTTCAAACGAGTTCTTATCTGAACACTGTTGACAAAACATTATTGTGCGGAAGCTCAGACAGCGGAGCGGGACACGGTCTGTTTCTAACACTGTTTTTATTTATGATAATTTAAAACATAATCCCAGAGTTATAGTGTCATAGTTTAATCATCTTTGTTCTTTCAGCTGTCAGACTGTGCAACAAACATATTCACTTGTGTTAAGTAGTTACATGTTTATAATTGATGTATTTATGTGTTTTATGGATGTGTTTCTGATGGACCTGGATTATATAAATAATTATCTATCATGTATCTGGGATAATCCAGCCCTATCAGCAGGAAATATACTCAAATACAAATCTAAATATGCTTTTGACAATGTGTTTGGAATGAATTATTATCATGAACAATAATAACATTGTAATAATAACTAATTGTAAATAAATGATTGATAGACAATTCTATAAAGTTTGATAATAAATCTCTGATGTGGATTAAACTAAATTAAAGATTAAATATTTGGTCCAAACTTCAGTCACAAACACAGGAGAGAGTTTTTAAATATAACGGAACTTAATTATTCCAAAATATTGTGTATTTTTATGATAATTTTTAACACGTTTATAACACGTCACGTTTTACGTCTTTTGCCCCAAAATGCCGTCAGTGACGTCACAGTTGCCTCGTTAGTGAAAAATGTTTGACTTTTCTTTTTGTTTTGTTTTTGCAGCTTCCCGTTTGTTCTGGTCCTTCATGATTCTGAGCAGAGACCGCTCAGCGCGATTTTATCATTTACTTTTGGAACTCATGCTGTATCTTTATAACAGACTGTTTCAAATAATTATAGTTTTACAGACTATAATATAGTGCTCTGTGTGACGTAAGAATGGTTGATTTTCAGCTAATTTTCTTAATGTAAAAATCATTTGAAATTTGCAACTGAAAAAACCCAAATTTTACTTTTTAGAATAATAATAACAATAACAATACATCAAACTTGTAAAGCGCTTTTTTGGACACTTTTTTTATGGGACTGATTTAAAGTTTGGTGGGTCTATTTAGCCTCTGGGCCTGTGTGTGTGTGTGTGTGTGTATGTGTGTGTGTGTGTGTGTGTGTGTGTGTGTGTGTGTGTGTGTGTGTGTGTGTGTGTGTGTGTGTGTGTGTGTGTGTGTGTGTGTGTGTGTGTGTGTGTGTGTGTGTGTGTGTGTGTGTGTGTCTGTGGTCACTTCGGTCAGATTAAATATATATTATATTAGTAAAAGCAGTGGCCACTGTGACATTTTATGAAATACAAGTTTATTAAGAAATTCACAAAACTAAAAAAAAGTGCTAGGATGAAACATGGCCCCAACATAAATGAGACAAATTACTATAATCACTTTTATGTAAAAAATAATGATCATCAAAACATACACAAAACATGGCGCCGTCAGCTTCGCACTGAAACATACACAAGCTTTAATGATTGTTCCCTGTTCTTTGGTTCAGTCATAGTGTGTGTGTTATATGTGTGTGTGTGTGTGCGTGTTGCAGTCATATCAAGGCTCTCTGTATTGTCTCATGCCGTGCGTAAAGTTAAAGAAACCATTACGCACCGCTCCAGATCCTCCCAGTCCGAGTTTAAACCAAAGTCTTTAGTTTGAACTGAAATGTCATAGATGTAGAAACTTCTTTTCTCTGTAAATGTTCAGATGTTTTATGTAAAGACAGCTCCCGCGGACAGAAAGTCTCTTCAAACAGAAAGTCTGAAATAGTCTGAAATAGTCCACCGGGTTTGAAGTCAAAGGAAACATCTGTGACGGGACTAGATATCGATCCTCGTGTGTAACGAGTGTTTGCTCTCGTGCTCCCAGTAGGAGCAGTGCATCATGGACAGCTCGGGCTGACGGGAGCAGGAGAACTGGAGGCCGGGGCTGTTCCCGGAGGAGCCCGGAGGAGGAGCCGCGGAGGCCGGACTCAGCTGCTGCGGGTGCGGGTGCGCGGGGTGGTGGTGGTGGTGGTGGTGACTCATGCCGTTGTAAGTGTTCACCATCCCGGGCAGCGCCATGCTCTGCACCCGGGAGTACGGGCTGTAGGAGGAGGGCCCGGACAGGCCTTTGACATTCACGGGACTCACGTTACCGCCGGACATCTGACAGGACGCGTAGGACATAGGCGCAGGAGGCTGAGCCAGGGACCACGAGTTGTTCATGAAGCTGGACTGCAGATACTTGGGCGGGGACAGATACCCGTAGCCATCGCCTCCGAAAAGAGACTTCCCGGGCTGGAAGTGCGTCGGGGGAGGTCTGAACGGCCGCTTCATCCGACGCCTTCTGCGGTAGTTGCCTTTCTCGAACATGTCCTCGCAGGCCGGGTCCAGGGTCCAGTAGTTGCCCTTCCTCTCGCCTCCTCCCTCCCGCGGGACCTTGATGAAGCACTCGTTGAGGCTGAGGTTGTGGCGGATGCTGTTCTGCCAGCCTTTCTTGTTTTTCTCGTAGAAGGGGAACTTGCTGATGATATACTGGTAGATCCCGGACAGCGTCAGGCGTTTCTCGGAGCTCTCGCGGATGGCCATGGCGATCAGGGCCACGTAGGAGTAGGGCGGCTTCTGGGTCGGGTCTGGCTTCTCTACGCCCTTGTCCTGCACCGACTCCTCTTTGGTCCGTTCCTTGTCTTTGGCCGCGGTGTCGTGGATGATGAGCGCCAGAGCAGCCTCCTCCTCCGGGCTTTGATAAGCAGCCATCATCGCGGACTCCACAATCATAGAAAGTCCAGATGCAGAAAACTCAAGCAGAGACAAACTGAAGGTTCAACAACTCACTGCAAAGTCTCAGAAGTCTTTGGTCAAACAAACTCCAGCGTGTATCCGTCACATCTGCGGCTCCGCTCTGATAGATCCACTTCTGCAGACGACTTTTAGTTTGTGAACAAGGAGGACTCAAGTCTGTGGTTTGTGACAGTGGAGCCCTCCCCTTCTCTGCTGCTGCTGCTGCTGCTGATTTGAGCTCACACTTCCACACTTTCACAGTTGCACATTTTCTTTTTGCTGCAAATGGACGTAGAAAAAACTCCAAATGCCTAGACTCGGCGCAGAGTTAATGCAGGATCTGACTCCAAAGAGAGTGTTGGAAACAAATGCATCATTATAAATGTGCAAACTCAAAGGTTTATTTGTGGATTTTCCCACATTTTAGGAAAGAATCCCCTCCCCCCCCCTTCATGAACAAAACTCTCTGATCTTATTTGACGAGCACGTGTCTCCAGAATGATTGACAATAGTCATGATGATCCACCCGGAAGTAGAACATCCTCTTTATTTACTTATCATTATGTTTGGATGGCATTTTGAGCAACAGTTAAATATTGATTCAGACTCAGAGTTTATTTGCCATTTACCGTAAAACACATTGGAATCAATCCCCAGCGCACGTGACCAGAGATAAACAAAATTATAATATTGTCACAAAATCTTAAAACATTCAATCAGCTCTGATCTAAAATACATTAATAACAGTTTCATCATAAAGGCCTAAACACAGAGGTTCTAGATTGTGAGAGTTTGTCCCACATGTAGGAAAATGTCAGTGTTGCAGCATAGTCACGGAGCAGGAGCAGCACAAGATAAATAAAGATTAAGTTTAATCTCTAAATAAATAAAACAAAAATGTGTTGATTTGATCTCATAAAGAAACACACACACACACACACACAATGCATTCTTTAAAATGCATTCGATTCTATGTTTTTAATGTCATGTTTTTTATTCTAAGGCGTTGGGTCTTGAAAGGAGCATTATTATTATTATGATTATGATTATTATATTTAAGGTATGAACCTATACTCCAGTGGAATAAATATTTGTATATAACCCTGCATAATTGCGTAAATACCAACAGGTTGGCTTCATACTGCATGCGGACAGAACCGTACCGGACCAGAGACATGTGGTCACGTGACCACAGTTTCACAGTCATTCCACAGTTGCTTAATTAGGTCCACGATGAGGATAGAGAGAGGCAGAAAGAGAGAGAAAGACAGAGAGAGACAGAGAGAGAGTGTGTGTGTGTGTGTGAGAGAGAGAGAGAGAGATAGAGAGAGAGAGAGAGAGAGAGAGAGAGAGAGAGATTGAGAGAGAGAGAGAGAGAGAGAGAGAGAGAGAGAGAGAGAGAGAGAGAGAGAGAGAGATGAGAGAGAGAGAGAGAGAGAGAGAGAGAGAGAGAGAGAGAGAGAGAGAGAGAGAGAGAGAGAGAGGTGTCCATGTCTGGGCCACCCATGCGGCTCCCAGGGGCCTCTCTCTGGGTCTGAGCTCTGAGGTCCTGCAGGTGTGTGTCATCACCCGCACTCCTCCATCCGCAGCAGCTGAGGCGCGTGCACGTCACGTCTCTCATCGCACAATTACGCGCGCGCTCACGCTCTCAGGGCCTTGAGGAGCCCTGTATTCACTCGTGTTCTCCGTGTCCCTTCTCACCCGATGGCGTTTCTCCAACAGCTCAGACATTAACACCAGAACTCCCAGAGCAGTCAATTTGACGGCTTTTCGATTTTTAAAGTGTAATAATTCTATGTTTATATAAGTTTGTGGTCTTCATAACTTTGTGACTTTTTCTGTTTTTCTATGTGTGTAGTTTATTTGTCATTATGTTTATGGAATTATCTCGACCCTGAACTGGCCCTCGGATCGGAGTGAGTGCTAGTTACCATAGCAGCACACCGTTAGCTGCTATAGTTACCATAGCAACACACCGTTACATTGCAGCCGTTAATGTTTAGTTTTGTTGTATTGTATTTATAATAACCAGTTTTAGCTTGTGTTAAAGATAAAAACTGAATGAATTACTTATGTTAATAAAATTATAATGGAAAACGACAACACATTCGTGCGTAAAAGTCATGCGTAAAAGTCGTGCGTATAAAGCTGTGGATGCGTTTGACATATTCTCTGATGACGTAATTGCGTGATCACATAAGAATAAAAACATGAAACTTGCTGTGCTCTCCTACATGTTTTTTATTTTCCCTCGCAGGAGTCTGTGCTCTCTTCTGAAACTGCAGCCTTTGGATGTTTCTTTATTCAGAATTTCACTTTTCTTACACAGGCCTTTAAACTGCACCATACACTAAATATAGGTCTATGTTTACATCTCATGTAGTATATGTGAGCTCTCAGTCATACAGGGATTAGTCAAAGCAAAGGAAGGTTTCTCACCATCATCTGTACTTCTTTTCTTGGGAAAACCTGCAAACAAGTGCAGATGAGTGAGAAACCTTTGCTTTATCTCTGTATATGCAACTGTGTGAATGTGAGAGAAATATCTCATTTTTCAACTCTCCAAACTCACTCCTGCACATTAGAAATTCACTGCAACCCTTTAAATCAGTCTCAAACCGATCTGTTCAAACAAGCTGTTCCCAAACCCCCCTTTTCATTATTTATCTGTATTTGTATTTTTTATTGTATTCCCGTGAAGCGTCTTTGAGCGTCCCAAAAAGCACTATACAAGTTAGACGTTATATAATTATTATATTTATTATTATTTGTAGTAATAATGTTCGACCTTGCACTTTCTAATCTTTAGTTTTAGCGTCAGTCCCGCACGTGTGTCCACTCTCCTGTGGGAGGTGTGTGTCTCCTGTGGTAGGTGTGTGCGTGTCTCTTGCGGGAGGTGTGTGCGTGTCTCCTGCGGGAGGTGTGTGCGTATCTCCTGCGGAAGGTTGGTGCGTGTCTCCTGCGGGAGGTTTGTGCGTGTCTCCTGCGGGAGGTTGGTGCGTGTCTCTTGCGGGAGGTTTGTGCGTGTCTCCGAAGCTCTGCCGCAGTCCGAGTCTGTCACAACAACACTGGCGCGTGCAGAATCCGTAAACAAAACACAGGAGGAAACCCGAGCCGTGCCGAGCCGCGTTTGGATCATGGGGAAAATCTCCTTAACGAGATTAAAATAGTTTAATAAGACCTCAGACTCCACAAGGGCCAGACCAGGACTCACGGGTCTACAACCTCAGACTCCACACGGGGCCAGACCAGGACTCACGGGGCCTACATGCATCTCTCTATCATTATTTACCTTCTTTATTATTTATGTAAGTTAGAAATGTTGTTAAATGACGCTAAAGATAGAGATTTTGCTTCTATATAATAGTTATAAAATGTAATATATTTGCTTCTTTATTATGCTAAAACATAATAAAGAAGCGGCTGTGAGACAGGACTCTGACCGTTCAAAACTATTTAAAACACATTTAACTGAATCTGTTTAGTTTTATTTATCTCTTTGTGAACCTCATTTTAAGGCCAATACTTTTATTTCGCATTTTGTTCAGTGTTTACATTTCTCTGAAGCGTTTGATCGGCCTTGACATGGATTGTGCTACATAATAAATATTGATTGATTAACTGAAGATAAAAAGGGAATAATGTGGTTTTGGGGAAATTGGAATAAAATAATGTGGTAATGCATTCTGAGCGCACTTATTACAGGCGTTTGAGAAGAAGAAATAATAATAGTTTGAATTAAAGCTAGTGTTTCTGTGTTTAGGCCCAGACCATGTGACCCCAGACGCGGGGAGCGGGACCATGTGGACATAAAGTGGACTTCCTGTGTCCGCGCGCTTCCTGCCCTCGCTCTCGGGGTTTCGGATGTTTATGAAAAGTGCGTGTGCATTGGAATGTGACGGGTCCAGGAGTCAGGTCTGGACCAGGACGGTCGGGTCTGGACTGGACTGAGGCCTGAGCGCGGGAGGTCATGCAGCGAGACTCTTTGTGGGAAATAAAAGTAAATAATGTCAAGTTTGTGCTCATTTAATTTGTCCAGTTTGAATGAATTAAACACTGACTCTGAAATAAATGTTTTATCAGAAAATGCGGATTTCTTTGCAACATTTTTAATTCTTACTTTTGAAACATAAACAAATAGACAGCCTTCATTGGGAGAAGTATATATCCACCCCTGAGACTTTAATGTTGTTCTTTAGAAACTAAAACGTGAATCAAAACTTTACTAATTTGAGCAAATATTCATAATAATAATACAAAGTTAAATAAAAAGTTAAAAGGATGGAACCAAATTTGACTTTTCTTGAACATTTTCTAACATCTAACAAGCCCCATTAAATTAATAATCACTCTTTCACTGTGGTTTCAAGGTATATCATTCATTATTTTCTAATCCAATCAAGGTTGAAATGCATGGGTCATGACAACACGAATACTATAATACTGCTTCAAATTAAAAATATACAAAAAACACACAAGTCATTCTACTGCGACTTATACTAAAACTACTGCTGTTACTATACAGATAATAAAACATATTAAATGATGATGTCCTTCGGGTCCACAGCTCTCTGTTCTTGGGCTCAGTGCGTCCTGTCAGTGTCGGTCGGGCTGGTGTCCCGGTTTGATCTGGTTCTGGTTTGATCTTGGGTTCGATTCCCGCTGCATCTGGAGAAAGTCTTCAAACATCCTCCACATGAAGCAGAGGAGACGAGCAGAGGATGTAGGTCCAACATGGCTCCTGTCCCCCACACAGACACAAACAAACACACACACTGCACACACACAGACACACACATACACATCTAGAGGTTAGCAGCAACGTTTTATCTTCAGCCAATAACAACAACACGAAACAATACTACTATTACTACCACCACTACTACTAGTATCTTTATTTATACATTTTTTACAGACCAAGGTCAACCAAAGAGTCCAGATATGTTTCCATTCTCTCCACATCAAACCCCCAACGACACCATTCACTCATTCATTACATTCCTATTGTACATGCTTGTAGTGGGAACCCGTAGCACCTGGAGGTACTACTACTACATAGTAAATGATAACGTTAGAATATGTAACCTTCCCTCTGCTCCCTCATGTTTAAAGTGGTTCAGGTTCAGTAAATGTCAGACTGACCCAGACTCCTCCACTTCACAAACTCATTACTTTATTTTGATCTGAAAACTTTGAAAACTGTGGTAATTGTTGCTCGTGAACATCAACATCTGAAAAACCATCTTTATAGAAAAGCGGTTTGTTAAAGTGGACGATAGCATTCAAAATCATAAAATAATCAGTTGTCAAATCAAGCTAAAGCTAAATACTGAACTTCTAAGTTTATCTTCTAAGTATTTTGACAGATATCATCTTTTCCCAAGTTTTTCTATTTTTCTATTTTTAAACCTAACAATGCAACAACATTTCCTCAGTCCAGGACAAATACATATTTACTTTTCTACATTTTGTTTTTAAATCTGCACAAAGATGGAACTCAAATAGTCAAATAGAAATACATTTGTGGCTTGCTCCTGTTAGACCTCTGAAGTTAAGCAGGGTAGGGTCTAGTCAATACTGGGATGTGAGACCTCTGGGAACAGCAGGTGGGGCAAATGCGGCTGTAAAGTGCCAAACTGTGGTTGTGTCCTTAGGCAAGACATTTCCCCCACAAGAATGACTGTGGTGTGTGTGTAAATGGTTGGTGGTGGTGTGAAGGGCTCATGGCACGGACTTCATGGTTGCCTCACTTCTGTCAGTGTGCCCCAGAGCACTACTGAAACCCAGTAGTGGTTTATCACCACCCTGTTTGGAGTGAATGAAAAATGATGTGAAGAGACTTTGAGTGTCTGAAAATAACTGAAACATTTTTTTTATTTTTTTTTTTTTATCAATGAACTAGTTCCAGCCCCTTTACTACTGGATTCTAAAATATACTATGTGTAATGGCTTCTAAGCTGAGAGAGCCTTACATTACATTAGATAGACAGACAAACAGAATACCCTTTTATTTGGCACCAAATACTTGCTCAATAGAAAATTCTCATTCCATTTGTGAACATGCACACTGTTGACACAGAAATCCAAATATTAGGGTTGATGCCTTTCTGTGATTCCGTGCAGATGATCTTGAATGCTGGTCCCAGTCTAGAAAATTAACAAGCATACGTTAATAATGAAGCCCTTCCAAAAAGTTAGAAAAAGCGAGGTGACCTTACCTTGAGAAACAGTGAGATGGTCACAGACATGTCTGGTGAAGTAGAAGAAGAAGACATGTCATTGCCCCAGCCTGAAAAAGATCAAACGGAAGTCATCTACTGTGTTTGTGACACGATCCATTTTCACCAATATAAAAAAACTCACCTTCAACTTTAGAGGTGGACTCAGCTTTAATTCTTGATTGCAGACAATTGGCTAATTTTGTTGAAGTAGCATCATCAAGCATACTGTAAGTCTGAAGTCCTGCTCTATCTGTTTTATAACAAAAGACATAATGAAATGTTGATACAACATTAACAATATCAATATTTAAGGTGACTTACCAGTCCTGATATTATCCAGAAATCTTTGAAAACATTGTGAAGACCGAGAGATTTTTCAGGACCATATTTTGACGATAGTGACATGTCTGCTTCATCTTCTCTTTGACTATGGCTTCATCCATTGTGTGCTTCATGAGAGCAATTGCTTCACAGAATAGACTTTCTGCCAGCACAGATCAATCTTCCTCTTGTAGGTATCTCAGTTAGCATGCGGACCACCTATAGACAAATAAACATACAAAATAATTTACCTTTTCCAACAGAATAACTCAACAGTCTTTAACTAACCTTTTGGTAATGGTGTCCTTTTGGGACCATAGGACACAGCCAGAAAAACGGTAATAGTGCTCCTGAAATAAAAACATAGTTTGACAACATCCCTGTGAATGACTCAGATACAAATGTTCAGAGGAGTTAAGTATCATACCAAGTTAGCTCTTTGGATCTGCCAAACAGAGATAACAAGGCAATAATTCCTCTGGCATATTCGTCTTTTACACGCCTTGAAGGACTTCTTTAAAATAATAGGTTATATTTTAGTTATGAAACAGTGAAACTTTCAAAATTAGCAATGTTTTACCATGTTCATTTGTCATATGCGCAACCAAAATGTTGACCATATCACGTCTCCTGCTGTCTGTAAGGCTTTTGAGCATAATCGCTTAAGATTCCATCTCCTCCTGGTTTGTTCTTTGGGATGCTCTCAATCTGGAAACATAAAACAAAGTGTTTACAATGGTACGATAAAATAACTTAATCAGCTACATAGTGTGGTGCATATATATATAACCATCAAGCTCACATGTGAGAGATGAGCATCCTCAGTTCTATTGACTGAAGCAGGACTAAACTGCTATGATCGCGTCCTCAGAGTCAACCTCGGTATCTCCACTTTGGGGAGCTCAACCCATCTGCAACATAAAGTCATAGTTGTCAAAATAAAAACCTTAATATATGAAAATACAGCATTAAATTAATTAATTATTTAAAAAACACACACCCTTTGGTGAACAAACATCTAGCACACCCAAACGCTCCTTCTTGAGGAGAAATTCAAATACTTCATCAACCTCAGTCTTCGTCTCATCATAGACTTTGAAAGTTGGAATATCCATTTATTTTGCAACTGCAAAAACAAATGTATGTTAGTTGTGCTGACAACAAGATTGTTTAAAAGTATCAAGGCATTTCAGAGTGGAGTACAATGTAATATTATCAAAGCATTTTACTTTATAATGCCCCTGAAGCTAAAGATAATTACATATTTCCCACTTACTACATTTGAAGAATAACGCAAAACAAAGCTGCCCTTCATAGCAGATGTACTCCTGTGGATCGCTGCACATCACTTCAGCATTCATCTAAGGAGACATATAAAACAATTTTAGTACACACATGTGGTCACTGTTGTAACAGTAATAGTGTTTATGTGGCAAACATAGCTAAAACTGCATCCAAAGTCAACTACGCTGTCTGTAACAATGCTAACAACAATGCTAACAACAAAACTACTCAAGTTAGAGTCACCTCCATGTGCTGCGCTGTCTGTAACAATGCTAACAACAATGCTAACAACAAAACTACTCAAGTTAGAGTCACCTCCATGTGCTGCGCTGTCTGTAACAATGCTAACAACAATGCTAACAACAAAACTACTCAAGTTAGAGTCACCTCCATGTGCTGCGCTGTCTGTAACAATGCTAACAACAATGCTAACAACAAAACTACTCAAGTTAGAGTCACCTCCATGTGCTGCGCTGTCTGTAACAATGCTAACAACAAAACTACTCATGTCAGAGTCACCTCCATGTGCTGCGCTGTCCGTAACAATGCTAACGCGCCACCATAGCTCATGCCCAGTGTCAAATACTTGCCCATTCTAACCCATGAGAAACCATGCTAAAGCACCAAAGTAATACACGCGGTCGTCTGTCTACGCCACCGGAGCACAACAGGCGTTTTACAATAAAATGTATTCAGTGTATACAGATTGATTTGTATAAAGTAACACATACACACACTAAAAAATAGCTCAAAGAATGTGTTGCAGTGACGCAAAATTTGATTAACTAATTAACATAAGTTTAACAAATTCTACATTTTGAATGTATATTAATCCATTACTAATAAACTCTGTACAACTCCAACCACATATGATTACCAGAAGATGTAACACTATATCAGTATTTGTAACTTGTAACAGCACTAAGCTAGCAGCTTTCACAAGACACAACTGTGTTCCAAATGTACACCGCGATAACAGCATGGACTAAATGAAACTGAAAAAAGTGACAAACTTTAAATATGCATTTAGACTCACCTTGTATCCTTTTGACTATCCATGACGTAGAAAGAAATTAGTACATCCATGGTTTCCACACTCCGTCTGCTAGTGTCCAGCGAGAAACTGTCATGGCGGCGGTTCAGAAGCTCAAGACCTGAGTTTTGGGGGCGGGACATAGGGCGGGGCCTCATTTACTCCAATCGAGGAGATTCTGATCATCTCTGAAAAATCACTCGCACTCTAGAGGCCGCTAGAGGTTATTTTACTCTAAAATGTTTAAAAAGAACTCAATTGGAAGAAAAAAATAATGACTCTGGAAATTTTACTCAGCCGTTTTTGCTGTGTAGATACACATCCATCGAAACAAACAAGACAAATTAATACATAATTCTAAAAGCAGCTATAGCAAATTGTACTATGGTAAAGATTATTAAAATATTAGAGACAATTACAGTGCAATACATTACATTAGTGAAAGTAAAAACATATAAATGTATAAAGCCGTGTATAGAGGACTGTAACGTGTAATAACGTAACCTCAGGACAAACTCTATCTTCTCATAGTTTCCGTCTTTGAGCATTGAACATGTGCCCTGTGGATTCTGCAAAGAGGAGAAAGTGGAAAACAGGACGCGGCGCTCTAAGGTGAAGTGTGCTGCCTCCTGCCAACATTCACTTTGAGCTTTTCTGAACAGCTGCCAGGACTCAAGCAAAAAAATGTGTGTGAGGCGTTCATCCGAGACCGGGCCTTTGGAGCCGAGTGTGAGGGAGTTTAGACCCAGCAACATGTGTCACTACGGTTACATGTTCTGTTCACTCTGATGTGTGTGAAGGCTTGAAACACAAAACTGTGGATTCACCAACAACAGATCAGAGAATCAAACCGTTCACACACAAGAAATGCAACGATAACAAACACCAATGAGCCGGAGAGGGATGATCAGGGAACGACTAATAAAAACACACTCCAATCGACGGACAAGCTGTAGATCCATGAGTCTGGCTGTAGAGGACTGAGTAAAGGCCTATACTTAAAAAAAATGAGGGGCTAAAGAAACCCCCAAAATCCTTTCTTCCGCTACATCCATTGCCGGGTTACGGGGGCAGCAGTCTAAGCAAAAAGAAGAAAATTAAGGTTAACTTGTAATTTGTGAAATAACTCACACTGATTCTTGCTTCTATCATCACCGGGTGTGGGGAGAATGGAAAAACTATCGGAACTCTGAACAATTGTTAAGGGCTTTGGGTGACCTGGTCTGTAAGATGCGCTAATAAACCTTACCTACTTACTTATTTTGACAAAACTCTGATAACATTATGGCTTTGCTTACGCTCATGTCCGGTCCGATAGCTTCCATGATAATTTCTTTGGTAAATTATCAGTGTTAAAAGTATAATAAGATCTCAGATGTTTAAATTGGACACAGTAACCAGCCCTAAACGTCCCCACGGGTTAGGGTTTGTCTCTCCTCTCTCCTCTACGTCTTCATCCTTGTGTGGATAGATTTCAGGCCAAATCAAAACAAGTCACTTCGTTAGAGGCAATTACACAGGTCTCCTCCTGCTCAGAGTCAACAAACAGGCTGACAGCTGACACCACGGATCAAAGCCCTGAGAGAGCGGCTACAGCGCTTACAAGCTAACCAGCTAACGGCGCTAAATAGCAAACGGCGCTAACAAGCTAACGGTAAAAAGCTAACAGTGCTAACAAGCTCACCCTGATGGATCCGTCTTCATAAAGCATTAATATCCTTCATGTTATCACAATAAAAAGCTTGATCTGCACGATTTGAACATACTATAAAATTGGGATTTGTCAAATAACAATAAACTAAAGAATTGTATTATTATCATTTTTAATATAGAGTTGTGCTGTACTTAATATAGCTACTACTTCCTGCTTTGTTATGCTAAAGTTAGAGATATTATAAATGCAATGGTTGTGTAGTTGCTTTGTGGAGGTAGATGCTGGTTGTGTAGTTGCTGTGTGGAGGTAGATGCTATGGTTGTGTAGCTTCTGTGTGGAGGTAGATGCTGGTTGTGTAGTTGCTATGTGGAGGTAGATGCTGTCGTTGTGTAGTCGCTTTGTGGAGGTAGATGCTGGTTGTGTAGCTGTGTGGAGGTAGATGCTATGGTTGTGTAGCTGTTGTGTGGAGGTAGATGCTGGTTGTGTAGTTGCTGTGTGGGGGTAGATGCTGGTTGTGTAGCTGTGTGGAGGTAGATGCTATGGTTGTGTAGCTGTTGTGTGGAGGTAAATGCTGGTTGTGTAGCTGCTGTGTGGAGGTAGATGCTATGGTTGTGTAGTTGCTGTGTGGAGGTAGATGCTATGGTTGTGTAGTTGCTGTGTGGAGGTAGATGCTATGGTTGTGTAGTTGCTGTGTGGAGGTAGATGCTGGTTGTGTAGTTGCTGTGTGGAGGTAGATGCTGGTTGTGTTGCTGCAGACCCGGTCCCTGCAGCAGCTGTGTGTGACATCACTTATCTCTGCATCTGTGTCTCTGCTGAACACAATGCTCCTGATTGGACAAACCCAACGCCACTATTCACAATGTCTCAATAGTGGACAATGTGTGTGGTGTCTAAATATAGTTGCGTTTGCGTAGTTGAGTTTCTGCAACCTGTTTGACAACACGTTTCAGAAATGTCATATTTTCATTGGTCAATATTTTTAGCTGGAATTTGTTTTTCCAGTTAAAGATTGTGCTTCCTGTTAAACTGAAATGGGCCGAAGGAGAGAATGTTTTAGAACTGATTCAAACTTAGTCTAAATCTTTTTAAAGATCTTTGAAAAATTTCAGATCAATTATTAGTTATAGTAAATAGTAAGACATGGCCCCAGTGAAGGAACCCAAGCAACAACAGCAGTTTTCATAGAGAGAGACTATATAATATTAATAATGCAACTGTAGCCACAGCTGCCCTGGGGCACACTGACACGCGAGGCAACCAGTCTGTGCCATCGGCCCCTCCCACCACCACCAACCATTCACACACACACCAGACTCATTCTAATGTGGGGGAAGTGTCTTGCCTAAGAACACAACCACAGTCTGGCACTTTACAGCCACAGCCGCCCCAATGTGGCACATGCTGTTCCCAAAGTCTCTTCCTAATGTGTGTTTGTTATTATTGCAATTTCTATTTGATCTGTTTGATTCTCTGATCTGTTGTGGAGGAATTGACAACTTTGTAAAGTCCTCTGAGAACACTGCTGTTGTGAAAAATACATTTATACTATTACGTGAGGCTGGGGCAGAGTGTTTCTTTAGTTTAATTCCCTGGAGGTCTGGGAGGTCCTGGAGGTCTGAAGGTCCTGGAGGTCCTGGAGGTCTTGGAGGTACTGGAGGTCTGGGAGGTCTGGGAGGTCCTGGAGGTCTGAAGGTCCTGGAGCTCCTGGAGGTCTTGGAGGTCCTGGAGGTCTGGGAGGTCCTGGAGGTCTAGGAGGTCCTGGAGGTCCTGGAGCCCACACAGAAGAGGACTACACAGACACATCTGAAGCCGGAGAAGATCTGTCCTGTTTTGGTTTTTCCTCCATCTGCTTTTCCTGCAGGAAGTAAGACCACGCTGAGCCCAGAGACTTGCAGCAGGAGTCTGGACCTGTTCTGGAACCGGTCTGGGCCTGGTCTGGGATCATCACATGTGGATCATCTGAAACCAAACCATCACAAACACGAGGCGTCCAGTGTGTGTCCACTACAAGATGATTAAGATAAAACAAAAAATAAAACATAGTTTCTTCAGAAATGAGCATCTATTGAGTACTAAGGAAATAAGTAAGAAATCTCTATTCATATAAGTAAATATTATTATTATTGTAAACATGTGATTCAGCTGCTCCGCTTCAATCACGTTTCTGAAATAAATGTAGTTGTTTAATGTCCTTAAATGTTTTTGTATGAACATTTTTAGACATCGGTCCCTTTCACAGGCTCCTCTGTGTTTGTTATCACTGCATTTCCTGAGTTCGAACCGTGGTTGATTCTCTGATTTGTTTTTGGTGAATCAATAACTCCGTAAAGTCTTTCTGCGGTTGTGATTTAGGTCTAAACACAAATACATTGAATGAGTGGGAACAGAAACACCTAAAGCGGCTAAATAATAATTATAGATATTCTGTCTATGATGGACCCACAGACATGTATTAGTGTTATAAGTTTCATAGTAACTTTTGGTTTTCCATTTTGTTAATTTTATTTATTAGATTTGTTAAATACAATCTAAACCAGAGCCAAGTGATTAACTCCGGGATTATCCCCAGTCTTTCTCTCATTAGTCCAGGAGTTTGTGGAATTGGAGGGTTCGGGATAAAGACTGTTGGAAGAAGGAGATATTTTGTTTTTTCTCTCATTGTTTTGAAGTCTTTTCTATACCATTCTCACAAATTCAATGCTTTTTCTCTGGGAACAGCCTTGAGCAGCAGGTGTTGGACGGAGCCTCCCCAGACCTCAAATCTGACTAACCCTGAAAACAGATTAAAGTTTTTATCCAGGTTAAGTACAAACTCAATAAATTAATCAATTATTTTAATTTATCCGTGTATTTATTGGGACAATGAACATTAACCAACAAGTGTCTTTTTCCAACATGTGAAGGCATAAGAATTAACAAAGTATTAGCCTTATTATCCATGAATTAGCCACAATCTAGCATTGGATTAACCATGAATGAGCCGCGATATCCATATGCATTAGCCATATTATTATTGGATGAAAATCACTAAATTTATTTTCTTCTTCTATGCTTATTGTGTTTATCTTTCTTTGGTCCTTTGCTGATGATTCCAACATGCTTGGACAAATCTTTGCTCATTTGAAATCACGTTCGTCCAAAAACTAATTAACACATTTTACTCTTTAGCAGAGAAATCCAAACACGCTGAAACTACATTTGTAACTGGACTTTTTCCGCTAAAATGAAAATATTTGCTTAAACCGGACTTCCTTCCTCTGTTCGCTGCTCCTTCACTTTCATTCACAAAAACACACTCTGGGTTTAAAGAACATAAATACGGTGATCTCTGAAGAGGCCGCTGACTTCTGCCGTCCGTCCACACTTTCACTTTCACACTGACTTCATCCAGACCCAAAACCCCGAAGACCATCTCCACTTCCTGTTTTTATTCTTACAGAGCTGTACTTTTGTGATTCCAGTCATAATGTTCCAACACCTGGGGTAGTTTTAATAACGCTGGAGTAGCCGTGCTGCTAATGAGACAGTCAAGCCATGTGTTGTTCCTCACTGGGCCACATGGGGGTGCCATCAGAGGATCAGAAAACGCCAAAAAACACACGTAAAGCTGCAGTACTTTTCTGCATGGTAATTAGACATTAACTATAATCCATCCATTTTCTTCCCCTTAATCCATTTCTGGGTCGGGGGTGGCAGTCACACTGATCCTCCTGCAGGTGCTGAGTCAACAGGAGCTGAGATCTTTCAGCTCTGGCTTCAGGCAAAGTGGGGTAAAGTGTTTGGCCCAAGGACACAACGACAGCAGACATCAGTGGGAGTCGTGAAGTAGGTCTTGTGGTGGACTCGAACCCACAACTTTCAGGCTCAAAAGCCAATGCTCTACCAACTGAGCCACTGTTGCCCCATTAACTATAATAACAATAATAATTCATTTAAAGGTGCACTTTCCCCATAGGGCAATTCAATCCTCTGCATTTGACCCATCCTGATTCCTCTAAGGCTTACGTCAGGAGCAGTGGTCGCCGTAGTAACAGCGCCCGTGAACCCATCTCCAGATGTTAAAGTTCGGTTTGGTCAGGACCGGAGCTGGAGGATTTAACCTAGTGAGCATGTTTTTAGTGGTAGGGGAAGTACCCGGAGGAAACCTATGCAGGCACGGGGAGAACATGCAAACGCCACTCAGAAAGACATGGTTCCGCCTGGGAATCGAACCCAGGACCTTCTTGCTGAGAGGCAAGAGTGCTATCCACTGAGCCCACCGTTCCGTCCTTTTTTTTCTTCATATCGCCTTTCAAGGACGCCTTATAATATATATACTGTATATACAAAAAATATCACACACATTATCAAAAGTAGAAGAAAATGAAGCGGAAGAAAATGGAATGGATACAGGAGGGTCTGAGGACAATGGTGATGATCCAGGACTCTCCACAGTTATTCACATTGGTCTGTTTTGGACCAATGGCTCTATGTGTGTTTTAATCACTGTATTTCCTGTGCTTGATTCTTTAATCTGTGTTAGCGAATCGACAGTTTAGTAAAGTCCTCACAGAGAGCTACAGTTGTGGTTTAGGGCTGCACAAAATAAAAGAATTGTATGGGAATATTGAATGCTTTCTAGTCCGATGAGGCCCGAGTCCGCTCTGTGTCCTACTCCCACATTATCATAACAGTAAAAATCCACTAATGCATCTGTAAAAAAAAAAAAATAAATGTAGAATAATTAAAAGTGTGTCCCTGAGAGTTTTCTCCGCTCCTCTCGGCTCCGGACTCTGGATCAGATAAGGATTTGGATCGGACTCTCTCAGATCTGTGCAAACACATGATCTCACCTCGAGGCCACTGAGCTCATGGTTTCACAGTCCGTCCGTAATCTCTGCAGGATCCACGATGGCCGCTCCGTGTTGACTTTAAATTACCCTCATTCGTTCATTCATCTCCTTCCGCTCATCGTTCCGACCTCGAGGAATCCAGTCTCCACGGGGATGATTTAGTTGGGAATGTGGCCGATAAGTTTCACTGTAGATTATTATTGTCATGATTATTGACAAGTGGTCGGGTTTGTGGCTTTGACGAGAGCTGAAGGAAACGCCAACGAGATCAAGGTATAAGAGTAAACTGTTTTTTTAGAATCTGTCTAAGTAAATTTTCAAATCCAGTCAATGCTGTCAAATCGTTCCACTGTCTTTGTTTAAAGCTCAGAGACCTAAGTTTCAAACCACAAACAATGGAAGTAATAACATCCATAGTTCCCCAAACCATCAGAGTTTTCATAATCATTTATTACTGGCTTCTGTCACATCTTTACACTGCAAAAATAAAATTTACTAAAATATGAGGTAAAAGATGCTTATGCTCTTTCCAAAGGAGACATTTCTTGAATATTTTTACAATAAGATAATTTAGCTCTTTGTCCCGTTGGATAATCTCGTTAATGCAGTCAGAATAAAATACATTTTGACTTTGAAGCAATTTGTGACTTTAAATGTGTTTTTTCATCACTTTTTTCAAGATGGATCAGATTTGTTCAGTCAGAAAAGTGAACTCAGCCAATCAATGTTCACCCAAAGCATCAAAAAGTGACTCTCAGGGCTCTGTATCTTTATTTATTCATTTATTTATTCATTTATCTGACAGGGACGAGTCAACACAGAACAAACTAGCTGATGCAAAAAGAGTTTATAGTCATTGCTCATTTTCAGCTCCAGTCCCTTTCTACTCTACATACACATTTACAATATTACCATAAAACTCACCTTTATTCACTGTTCTGAAGGAAGGAAAGAATAAAATAAACTTTCATTAATTCATAAATGTTTTCTATGTTTATATTAAAATGCGTCTCCAAACTCTTGTGTCGCTCTGTGTCACTGTTGTTTTTATGGACAGAGGCTCCTCCACCAGGAATGAAGCTAGCAATCGGTGATGTTTTTTCCCCATTTGGCAAAATCTTTTTGCGCCACTGTATCATTAATGCATCCCATGTTTAGGAATGATAATAAAAAAGTATAAAAACAGAGTCTATAAACAACAGAAAAACACATGAAAACTGTGATTTTTGAAGTGACTTTGGCCCAAACGTCTCTAGACCCAGACCCAGACCCAGACCTAAACCCAGACCCAGTCTCAGGTCGGATCGAGGTGAGTGAGTCCTGGATTCTCCTGCTGCATGTGTGAACCATGAGCGCATGTGTAATCCATCGCCCTGTGTGGCTACGGGGACCGGGGCCTGGGGAGGGGGTCCTGATGTTACCCCCCCTCCCCCGGAGCAGAGCCGGGTCATCCCACTGCGGGACACAACGACCCCCGAGACCCCGGCACCACGGCCCCCGAGACCCCGGCACCACGGCTGCTCCACGGCCCCCGGAGCCTCATAGCAGCTTTGATTCTTTATTCATTCACTTTTTACTTCCTAAACCTGACGTGTTTCAACTATTTCACCATTTTGATATTTTGAGCTGTGGAGAGTTAGGGCGGAGAGAGAAGAGGAGGAGAGAGAGGAGAGAGAGGAGAGAGAGGAGAGGAGGAGATAGACCCCCCGAAATCCTGGACCTCAGCCTCAGCAGGGTCCAAACCAGGTCCAATGTGTTCTCAATCACTCCTAACACAAACACCAGATTTATTAAAAAGAGGAGAGAGGAGGAGAGAGGGGGAGAGAGAGGAGACAGGAGGAGAGAGAGGAGAGAGAGGGGAGAGAGAGGAGAGAGAGGAGAGAGGGGGAGAGAGAGGGGAGAGAGAGAGGAGAGAGGGGGAGAGAGAGTAGAGAGAAGGAGAGATAGGAGAGAGAGGAGAGAGGGGGAGAGAGAGGAGAGAGAGGAGAGAGAGGAGAGAGGGGGAGAGAAAGGAGAGAGGGGGATAGAGAGGAGAGAGGAGGAGAGAGAGGAGGGAGAGGAGAGTAGGGGAGAGTGGAGGAGAGAGGAGGAGAGAGAGGAGAGAGGAGGAGAGAGAGAGAGAGAGGGGGAGAGAAAGGAGAGAGGGGGATAGAGAGGAGAGAGGAGGAGAGAGAGGAGAGTAGGGGAGAGTGGAGGAGAGAGGAGGAGAGAGAGGAGAGAGGAGGAGAGAGAGGAGAGAGAGAGGGGGAGAGAAAGGAGAGAGGGGGATAGAGAGGAGAGAGGAGGAGAGAGAGGAGGGAGAGGAGAGTAGGGGAGAGTGGAGGAGAGAGGAGGAGAGAGAGGAGAGAGGAGGAGAGAGAGGAGAGAGAGGAGAGAGGGGGAGAGAAAGGAGAGAGGGGGATAGAGAGGAGAGAGGAGGAGAGAGAGGAGGGAGAGGAGAGTAGGGGAGAGTGGAGGAGACAGGAGGAGAGAGAGGAGAGAGAGGAGAGAGATTAGAGAGGAGGAGAGAGAGGAGAGAGAGGAAAGAGGGGGAGAGAGAGGAGACCGGACACAGCTCAGAGGGACTCAATCTTTATTCTGTTTTTAGAGATGATTTAACGAGCCCCTGAGTGTTTTCATTCTGAAATTGTTCAACTTCAGGAACATGAGTCATGAGTTCTTGCCTTTGTATGTGTGCAGTAAATGACCCAATTACTGTGGAGATGTTTAATATTAGTTGGAAAATGATCAAAACTAGAAAATGATTTAAACTAGAAAATCCTCTGTGCACCGCTCTGTGACAGATCCAATCAGACTTCTCTGCTTTGTTCTTGTTTATACTTATAGATTAACAGATGTTTAGATTTTATTACAATATTATCTTATTCTTATTTTCAGATTATTATTTTAATGTTATAATGACTCAGCTGTTTAGACCTAATCCACTCACAGACATCATAACCACACTCTGTCCATGAGGCTTTCACTTTGTATTTTAATTGTTTTTAACTTTGTATTTTAACAGTTTTTAATTTTGTATTTTAACTGTTTTTAACTTTGTAGTTTAACTGTTTTTAACTTTGTAGTTTAAATACTCTGACTGGCCCGGTATGTTTTGTACCGGGCATAATAGTTTTTCAATTGAGAAATGCCAGACCAACCTGCCCGCTGAAATTCCATGGAGGCGGGGCTAAAGGTCGGCTGGAGCCAGGCTAGAGTTCTTGAGCTTCATTCATTTGATGCTTTTTATGGTTCTGGTCTGGGAATTAGTTATTGTTGGTTTAAATAAAGATTTTCAAACTACAGTGACAAAACCTTCTCAGTGACATGCCTTTGTACTACTGTATGTGTGTGTTGTGTTGCCCGTGGACTCAAATAACTCTCCAAACCCCAAGGTGGAAACACCTACTTTGAATCAATAAATGAAATGAAAATGAAATAAATGAAAGGAAGGTCTTGTCTTTTGCCTTTGTGGTTTTGTCAGGGAAGACTGTGGTTGAAACGGCATTAGCAATGACAAAATTATCCTATTTCATAAAGATACAATGCATGTCTTTCTTGGAATTAAAAAAAAAACGTCAAAATGTTCCTTTTCAAGACAATCCCCTTAACACCTCCAAACCTTACTACAGCCAAAATAAGTCTGAAGGTGCGAATGTTTGGACACAACATTTCTGCTAATGAGAACAACAAAGGCATAGAGTTGTCAATGTATCAGATTTGGAAAGAATATTAAAGGGGATAAGGCTAGAGCAAGAACTGGGACAGCATGCAGAGTTTATCTCGAATACTAACCCTTCTATTATAATCCGTAATTCCATTGAAAATTTGAGCTCATTGATTCAGCTTGTGTATGAATTTAGGCCGTAAAAAGTGCTGAGTAGAGACTTTGCGGGCTGCTAGCTCTCCTCCACTCACAGAACAAGCAGCAAACAGCCTGCGTCCTCTAGCCTCTACAGCGCTGGTAAACACTAGGGCTTTGACTTCAAAATTCAAATATAATTCGGAAATAAAAAAATATTGATATATTCGAAGGAATATTAGACTACGGAAGCTTGTTAGGTTCACTTGTGAGTGTGTTTTTTTTCCCGCTGGTATCATGTTATTTCATGATACTTTCATGAAATAACATGATAAATATCATGTTATTTCATGATATCAATTTATCATGAAATTTCATGATACCAATTTATCATTTCATTTCATGATACCAGTTTATCATGAAATAACATGATACTGTAGATACAGAAGAAGAAGAAGCCGTCAGCTTCTGATAAATTGGTATCATGAAATAACATGATAGTTGTGTATCATGAAATAACATGATAGTTGTGTATCATGAAATAAAATGATAGTTGTGTATCAGGAAATAACAAGATAAATTGGTATCATGAAATAACAATATAAATTGGTATCATGAAATAACATGATAGTTGTGTATCATGAAATAACATGATAAATTGGTATCATGAAATAACATGATAGTTGTGTATCATGAAATAACATGATAAATTGGTATCATGAAATAACATGATAAATTGCTATCATGAAATAACAAGATAGTTGTGTATCATGAAATAACATGATATTTATCATGTTATTTCATGAAAGTATCATGAAATAACATGATACCAGCGAGAAAAAAACACACTCACAAGTGAACCTAACAAGCTTCCGTATTAGACAGCCCTTAATATTCTAAATGTATTATTAACCCTGTGTTATTAGCCGACATGGTAGCCTTTGATGACGTCGCTGTTTACGTTACTTTTGCTCACCTGCCAATCACCTTATTAAATACTCTGACTGGCCCGGTATGTTTCGTACCGGGCACAATAGTTTTTCAAATACTATATGAGCTTCTGTGACAACGCAATTTCCCTGTGGATCCATAAAGTCCAAGTCCAAGTCTAAGTCTAAGTCTAAGTCTAAATTGGTTTTAACAGTGTGTAAAGTGTCTCTCGAGCAAAATGGGACAGTTTTGGGAGAGTGTGTTTGCTGCGGTCGGACTCATGGTTTTCAAAAGTCGGTGAAACTGGAGTGTGGACTGTTTTCTAAATATTCTGAGCCGCAAAAGAAACAGAATCACGAGGAAGTGGCTTAAAGGTGACGACCGTGGGTTAGAGATTTGTTCAATGGAAAGTTTTTCACGACTTCAGAGACACATCTTTGAAAAACGCTAAACAAAATGATTATTGCCATTGTGTTTGTGTGTGTGTGTGTGCATGTGTGTGTGTCTGTGTGCACTTGTTTTCAACTCCTGGTGGGTTCCATAACCTGAGATTCCGCTCACGTCATGGGGACTGGTTTTACGTGGTGGGGCCCGAACACCGGACCCCACTGGTCCAAGCTTAATAATCAATGGGTAATGCTTTTCTAACGGTCCTTATGCAGTCTCTGTAAAAATATGGAAAGGACCCCTGGAGGTTTACTTTCCTGAAAAAAGTGTGTTATGTGTCGGAACCCTGGTGGTGGGTTGCGGGATATCAAGGAGGGGCACACTGGGGCAATTTCAGTCCAGCAGGCTGGAGCCAATCATGGAGCAGCACAACAGAGGAAATCAGGTGTCAGGCTAGAAAAAGGTGCAAGTGTGTGGTTCATTAGGCTGCAAGAAATCATGGAGGAGCACACTGAAGCGCACGCTTACAAACCACTGGTAAGTGCTGACTACAAGTCATGACTTCAAATTGTTATATAGAATGATTCAGTTTCAGTTTCAGTTTCAGTTTATTCTTCTTCACAATATCACACATTTGTTCATACATTGAGTTTGTAACTAATTTTGTGACACTGGGAAAAAGAAATGGACACCCTAGGAAGCTACACAAGCTTATGTACGGGGTCCAAAAATACAAAGTCAAACAAAAACAGATGGCATGAAACAGAGATTTGTTAAATTTGAGATAGGAAAATTAGAAGAGAAATGAAAAAATACATATATACACACACGCTCACACACACACACACACACCCACGCCCACCTTCAGAGATCGTGTTTGTGTCATACATGGTATCGTTGTTTCTATGAAATTCAATGGTATATTCATAGTTAATACTGTTTTGTAAATTTATTTTTATTTTATAAGGTGTTATCACCACTATTGTTTTCTATTTACCGTTTATGTGTGCTTTCCCTTCCCTTAGTACAAGGAGATCAGTGGAGCCCAGGAGAGACTACCGTTTTAATCAGGCAGAACAGTAGCGTCACATCTGTAACTTGTCTTTTCAATTTGGACACTTTCCTTCCAAAATGAAAATGGCCAAAGTGATCCCAATTTTCAAAGCAGGAGACAAACATTGTTTCAGCAATTACAGACCTGTCTCTCTTCTGCCGCAGTTTTCTAAAATATTAGAAAAACTGTTTGACATGAGACTTCGTCGATTCATTGAAAAACATAATCTACTCTCTGATTGTCAATACGGGTTCAGGCCAAACAGATCCACCTCACTTGCTCTGATTGACTTAGTGGAG